GTTTGAAGTTTCATTGCTAGTCAGCAGCGGCTTAATTTAGAGAGACGTTTTTGGAGGCAGCGGGTCCCCAGAGCAGTCACTGAGTCTGCTGGAGAGGGACAGGAGTGTTCACTGTATGGGAAGAGAACAAAGGTGCCTTAACTGTTGTCCCACCCCAAACTGAAGGGCTCATTTTTGGTGCTGGGATCCTTCTAGGAACTGGTGTTCCCTCACAATATGAAATACGGATTGTGCTTCCCTCATGGTTCTTCACTTTATAACCTAAATTTGCAGATTCATTTGTTCCAACAACTCATGAAGAATGAATGGGAACAATTTCTTAGAAGAGCATAATACAAATTTGATTGCACTTTGAAATCAGTGCCATTAGGACCCAAATTTCTGAGGACTCATCAGTGCTTTACCATCCAGTGGCTCAAACTGGAATGAGACACCTGTCCAACTTTTGAAGGTCTATCATGACTTTATCTTCTAATTGCCCCTCTAATGACGAGGTGGGGTTTTCCAGGCCTGCCTTTGTCTGTGATAACCTCATCTCCTGTGTCCCTCCCCAGCTTTATCTCTGAGTTCCCTGAATGAGTTTCCATTTGTGCTCAGCCAGATAAGCAGCACCCTTGGAATATCCCCTGGCTGACGCAGGCAGCCCGTGGGGGGAAGTCTCGATCAGATTAGAGCTTATCAGGCTGCACAAACACAGCCCAGACACTTGTGGTACCTCCAGGGTCACCCTGAGGGCCAGCCTGCCCAGGGGTCACCCCTCTCCACTCAGGGAAGTGTTCCAGCACGTGCTTGAGTGAGAGAAGAGTCCCTTCAGCGGGTGTGCAGCAACCCTTGGGCTCTGTCAGCTCCCAGGTCAGAGCTGGAGGGTGGCTGATTTATCACCTAAGTATGAATCTGCAGGACAGAAGATGGTCGGGGTGGAAATGGGCTCTGCACAGCTCCGTGAGGAAAACACCCACCTGCTATGGGAGGAGATGGAGAGCAAATCCCGAGGGGTCCTGAAGCTTGGGAAACACTGGCAGGGGAAGATAGTTTGCTGCAGGGAGGGCTCTTGTGCAGATGCCCCATGTTGTGAACTCCCCCTAAATCAGATTTAACGCAGGAAGATCACTTGTGTAATGGAGAATTGAAATATGGCATAAGGGCACAGGATTGGAATTCGTGCTGAGGGGAAAAGAAATCCATGGAAAAACTCCATCAATGGGCAGGTTGTTGCCAGGGCAAAAAGGCGTCGGTTTTACAGTAAAGAGATGTTTTATATTCCGTAATGTTCTTGTGTTGTAGAAGCATTTGAGCTGTCTGAAAATACCAGGACATTCAGCAGTTTGAGCTCACCTAGGACTTTCTTACTCATCCCACTAAAAGTGCCAAGGAAATAAAGCTGTTCCTTTGTGTCCTTCCAGAGAGGGCAGGAAACACTCCTGGGTTTTCAAGAAAAGCACCAGGATGCCTGAAATTCAGGGGACTTGAAGATTGCAGCACCATACCAGGAGCTTTGGTGTGATCCCTGATATCCCTACCAATGTTTAACATCCCACTGCTTCCATCACTGGAACTGGAGATAATGAACAGTCAGATCTGAGACATTTGGCTCATGAAATCAGGAGGTTGAGTGAACTTTCCTGTGCTGACTGTGGTTCTGTGACTCTGACCTGTCACAGCTCCTGGCTGGGAACCTTGGCTGTCCCTGCCCTCGGGTGTGTGGTTAATCCTTGGACTGTGGGATCCCTGGGCCAGTCTCCAGTGGGGCAGCCACGATGCCAGACCTTGGGGTCACACCCAGCCCCATTCAGCCCCAGCTGGTCAATGATTAAAAGCTGCTTTAGTAAATGATTGTGTTGTGCCCCAACCTGTAAAATGTTTATAATGCCTGAGAATAGTTCATTGCCTCCATATAAACTGCTGATACCTGGAAACGTGGTGTGGGGCTGAAGGCAGGGACAGAGGGACAGGCAGGGACAGAGGGACAGGCAGGACGTTGGGCCTCTTATTGAGATCCACTGCATCCTGGTGCTGTGGGAGGGATGGGAGATCCTGCACAGTTCCATGAGCAGAGGGAGAAATCCCCCTCTGTGCCTGGATGTCCCCCTCTGTGTCAGAGCCCTTTGGTCCCTAATGCCTCCAGGATTTATCCTGAGAATACAGATAAGATGGGCTTGTGGTGACTGGCAGCTGGAAGGAAAGAGGGAATGCTGCCTGTTTCAGTGCTGGAAGGGCTCTGGGAGATGTGCTGTGTTCCCATAACCTACTTGTGTGGGGTGGAGGAGTCAGTCCCTCCCAATACCCTTCTCTTCCCTTGACACCCCTGGTGTGTCACAAACCACTTGGGGCTGGGGCTGAACCTCACACTCCCTTCCATCCTCCAAGTTCTACCCAAATGTGAATAACCAATAATATACCAAAAGATGAGTGACAGAAATCACAGATATCTCTCAGTATAATTGTGATGAGCAAGTTTTCCTTTGTTTGCTCATCTTTCATTTAATGTTGTTGTTGTCTCAACGAAACTCACAATGGGCATTCTGCCCAAAGCCATGTTAGAGGACTGCAAAACCCAAAACAGGGCTCGAGACTTTTGCTTGGGCTCCCCAAACTGTTCTGAGGCTTAAATGGAAGGTGTACAGGGAGGAAAGAAAAGCCTCCCTGGATGAGCCTGACATGTCCTGGGCTGCAACGTGAGCTCAGTGGGGATTTCCAGCAGGAGCACAACTCCTGCTTCTTGGAGGTGGAACTCAGCCTCCTTCATTATCAGGTCTCTGGGTGGGTTCATTCCTTCCCCATGGAGCTGGTGATTTATCTTATTTGATGGAGAAATTGCTATGACAAAATGCTGAAAGCTCTTGCTCGGGGCTATTTTTAATCTACTGTAGGTGAAAGATCAGAACACATTTTTGGAAGATTTATGTGTCATACCCCTGTGCTGGGTGGGATAAATGGGAGTTGACAAAATACAGGGCACAAGATTTAAACCATTGCCCTCTGACATCCCGAGGCATCCCAACCCTGTGTGATCACAGTTGTGTTCAGCAGAGGAAGGCTTTGCTCTGGGGGCACCTCAGATGCTCAGCAGGGGTGCAGAAATGCAGTCCCTGTTCAGTCTTTAAGCTTTATTGGTGGTGATCAGTAGTTAAACCTGCTCTCAGGCCTCTGTGGGTTTTAATGCAGAATATTTTCCAGCAGTCTCTGCGTACTCGTGGTGTTTGTGCACAGTAACACAGCCCTGTTCTGTGGGGAGGGAGAAGCTACTTAATGACAGTTCAGCTTGTGCAGACTCAGCGTTTTTTGCTGATCCTTTAATAGTCCAAACTGCTTCCAGCTCCGGGATCTCTGTCAGCTGTGTCCATTTCTGAAACAGGAGCCCTGACAAAGGCTCTTGACAAAAGCCCTCAGAAATTCCAGGAAACCTTTTTTTCACATCAAGTGTGAGCCAGAGCCCGGTTTCTGCAGCAGTGCAGGAGAGGGGCAGGGGCAGGGTGGGTGCTCTGCCTGGGTCACCCAGAGCACTGGGACAGCCCTTCCAGAGCCAGGGAGAGGGATGGAGGGGTGAGGCTGAGGGAGTGCAGGGTGGCTGGAGAAGGGGTGGCTGAAGGGGAGGACTGGGCTGGCTGCAGGCTGAGACACTGCTCTGGGCAGTGCCCAGGCTGGAACCTGCACATCCCGGGATTTCACTGTTTTATTGCTGCCTTGGGGCTCCCCAGGCCTGCCCTGCTGCCCCTGCAGGTTCAGGGCTCTGTCAGTGCTCGTGGTGTTCACGTGCAGTTTGTGCTCCCAAAATGACACATCCTTGTGAGGCCATATCACCAATTAACGTGTGGATTTGTTCTGCATGTGCAAGTCTTTTCTTGGGCAGGGAAGTGTCACAGAGACTTGGCTGAAGGAAAAAAGGAAGCAGTTTAATCTTAAATTGTAATTGTCATCCTCTGGCTAATGATAAGCGATATTATGGCCTGTGTATCAGCTGTAATTAAGCAGTGAGACACAACAAGGTGTGTGTTACAGGCAGATAACACAGTGCTTAGGAGCCAGTGACCTGCACAGCACGTTATCTCCCAGCTGCACGAGCCCAGGGTGTCACTGTGGCTCCCAAATCCACTGTCCCCTCTCCCCTGCCCATGGGCTGCTTTTGGGGTGCAAAAATGGGAAGAGGGTTCATGTCAGATGATTTTTAAAAAAAGCTTCTTTTTTATAGTTGTCCATTTCTGCCCAGACAACAAACCAGTAGGGAACATCCTGGGGCACCATTCCCTGGAGTTCTGGGGGTTGGGCATCACCTCAGGGGATGTGCTGGCCAGGGAGTGTGGGGTGAGCAGGAGGGTTCCACTGCTGGCCCAGCACCAGCAGCAGCTCCTCCTCGGCTCCAGGATTTCATTTTGCTGTCAGAGATTGCAGAGGGATCTTTGGGCTGGAATGTGGTGTTGGATGGAACTTGTTTCAGAGTGGGATTTGGGTTTTGGTTGGATTGAAGGTTGGAAGTGTGAAGTTTGCACTGTTCATACCAAACCTGTCCCATGGAGGTGCCATTGCCCACGGGAGTGTCCTGACCAGGCTGAGCAAAGTGTGGTGCTGCAGGAATGAAATCCAGGGTGGCAGCAGCACCAGACTGAAGGGGGGAGAGCACCTGAGTCCTGGCTCCTTGAGGACAATCCATGGTCTGTGTATAGTGTAGGAATCCCAGAGGAAAACTGGAAACCCCAGCGACTGAGACCTTGCAGTGGCAGAAAACATGGAACAGGGTCAGCTTTGCCCTGCTGGGTCCTGTCAGGGCACTGCTGTTTCCCTTTATTCCTTATGTTACCCCAATGAAAGTTTGCAGGGCAAAACACTTTGATGTTGGTCCCATTTCCAGTTTAAGCCCCATGGATGTGGATCTGCTGCCCCTCGGTACTGGGACTGCTACAGAAAATTGCACAAAATTAATGTACAGCAGTACAGTTGCTGTGTTTTGTTCCTGTGTAACAATCTGTCTCACACTTGTTTATTCATGTTTTTTCTCCCCCCAGCCATACAAATTAGAGTGTCACTGGGGTCTTGGTAAACAAACTGCTGGCAGAGGGAGGAAGGCAGCAGTAAGGTAAGGAGAGAAGCATTCCATCTAATCTCTTTTAGCCAGTAATTGCCAGAATATGCATGGATTGATTTCCCAGTTTTTGGGTAATGTTACCCACTGAAAGGAGTGGATTTTTACTTGGCTAAACGCAAGGTCTGAGTAGGGTGGGAGGTCAATCCTCTTGAGTCCTGAGTTGTGCTGTTTGCTGTCAGAAGCACAGTTTGGTTCTGGGGGTTGGGATGGCACTGAGCCCATCTGGACCCTGATTTCAGTGGCTGTCCTAGATATTATTGTATTAAAAATATAAATAAATCGAGTTAGGCTTAATATAAGAGCAGAAAGACAAGGCAGGGGCCAGAGCCAGCTGTCTCTTGCTCGAGTCCTTCCCCGGGTGTGAGTACTCCTGATTCCAGCTGTGCACTGGGAATGCCTCTCCATGGCTGGGATAATCCATTCAGAGCAATTACAAGGGATCCATCACCAGCAGGGCCTGAGCCATGGGCTGCTGATGTGGGAAAAGGGATGGGAGGGAAGGAGGGAGTGCAGGGAGGGAGTCAGTGCCTCCCCCAGGGGTGTTTGCCCCGGGAATGGAGCAGTGTGGGATCCTGGGCTGGGCACAGGGGCTGTGTGTGCTGTGCCCCGTGCTGGGCAGGGCAGTGGGAGCTGCTGCTCCCTGGAAACTTCCTGGGAATCCACCCACAGCAGCGGGACTGGGGTGGGCACGAGGAGTTCAGAAATTCCCACGGGGAAGAACCTTTTCTCCAACAGCCCCAGGCCCAGGTGGGATCCCTGTGTCTGCTCACATCCCCCCTGCCTGACATCCCATCCCACGTCCTTTCCTTGGTGTAGCTGGAATCCCATCCCGGTTTTTCCATGCAGAGGGTTGCAGGGGAAGCAGCAGGGCTGACATCAGCACAGCTGCAGGAACTGCCCAACTGCAGAGCCAGGACTAGGAAAGCTCCACTGCTTAAAACTGCCCTGTGTGATGAATCCCTTGGCACTGCAGGGCAATCCTGGAGCTGCTGCCAGGCAGGGGCTGGAATTTGGGGCACAGGGTTTGGGTTTAACATGCAAGGAGATGTAACAGGGAGGGTTTGGTGTCTCCCCCTCATCAGTCCCTCTGCTCCTGCACTCCCCTCGTGGATTGGAGAGGTAACTAAAGGAACTGGTCACTCTTCTCACAAAGCAATGTTGAAATCCAGGAGCTGGGTTTAGGAATTCTGAACAGCTTCACTGCCTGGGAAGTGACACTTTGCCTCTGCTGACACTGCAAAGGCCCCCAGTGCCTCTGTGGAGAGGTTTGGTGGGTGATTCCTGCTTGGACCATGAGCAAACAGGGATGTGGATCCACAGAGGCCCCAGCAGGGACACTGTCACTGGGGACACTGCAAATCTGACGTCCTTTGAGGCTGGAAAACCTCATTTTCCTTTGAGCCCTGCAGATTTCCTTTTGTTCTGTGCAGTTTTCCTCCAGCAGGTCACAGGTAAGGGAGAGGGAAGAGCCTTGGGGTGGGAGGTGGAGGAGCCAGAGGACTGGGAGAGCTGGGCCAGGATGGCTCTGGGGAAGCACTCAAAGCATGAAGTTCTCCAGGTTCCACCTCGAGGAGCTGACTCAACAAACACAGAGGTGAATTGCAGACCCTGAGCCAGAGACCCCCCAGATGCTGTGCAGGACAGTTCTGCTCCCTCAGCCCGGCCCAGGGAGCTGTGGAAACTGTTCCCTCCCAAATAAAAGTGTGTGGGAATTTGCAGTGCAAAATTTGCAGTCAGGTAGGCTGGAGTGCACATAAACCAGCTCATAAAAATTCCAGGGGCGTGTACGTCACCCAGCTGGGGTTGGTTGGATTCTGCTCTTCCCTGGCAGTGCCTGGAGCTCCCTGAGATCACCGGGAACACTCCGGGGCCTCCCTGATTCCCGGATTTTCCACGCCTTTGTCCCTTCCTTGCAGGAGGTTCAGGTCTCATTCCCAGTGTTCTGGGTGTTATATTGAGTAAATTGAAGTTATTCTGGCAGATAGTAATAAAATTATTGTTACTAAAATTTTAAATAGATAATTTTAGTTAGGAAATCAATAAACTAGTAATTTTCAAAACCCAGTTACCCCCTTAACCACAAACACCCAACAGCTGGCCTGGGCTTTCCCAGTTTGTGTTGTTGCACTCAGAGGACCTTGGGGATGGAGCACAGAATAATGTTTGCAGCCTCTGCTGTTACCAACCCAAATCTGGGTTGGTGTTTGTTTTGTAGCAGGAATTCCATGGGAAGGAATTCCATGGGAAGGACCAGCTCATTCCTTCAGGGCCAAGTCCTGCCCTGCACCAGCTCCTCCATGGAACGCTGGGCAGAGGAATTCCTGTGGAAATCGTATTCCTTGTGTGGGGAGCCTGTGGAACCAAGTTCCTCTGAGTGTGTTGCTGAAGAACATCAGGAACCTTGAGAAGATGTGTCAGCTGTGCAGAAGGTAACTGCCAATGAACTTTGAATTTTAGAGCCCAAACTCCCAGCAGTGGGTGGGATCTGGGGCTCAGGAGCCTTTCCCAAGGGAATGATGTGGGCCTGTGTTTGGGACCTGCACCCACCCCTGGAGAGCAGGGCTGGCTGAGGCACAAATAAGAAGCAGAGGTTTATTTTTCAAGCCCTTTGCTCATTCTCTGGCTTTTCCAGTGCTCTTTGAGGGCATCTCAGAGACGTCCCGGGGCTGTGGAAATTCTGCAGCCACTTCTCAGAAACCCAGGAGAGAATTACTCTCACATATGTTTCCATCTTCTGCTTTTTGCATTTTCCCCTCTTGCATTTCTCTTTCTTTGGCCTGGAACAAACCCCTCTGTGCTCACAATTCTCTCTATCCCAAGGAAATTTCACTCCAGTGTCCCAGTTTCCCCGGGCAGTGGAATGCAGGATTCCCAGTTCAGTTCCAGTCTCCTTCCAGGAGTGTCCCTGCAGAGGATCTGGGGAAGGTTCTTTTTCCCTGAGCAGGACCAGAGGCTGCCTGAGCCCATCTGGGGGGCTGAGCCCGGGACACCCCAAGAACAGCCCAGAGCCCTTCAGTGTTTTCTGGACAAACAATTTTATTTTCGGTAATGCGTCTATACACTGTACATTCAGTCACTGTGGTATATAAGCATAGCTATTTTCATACATAATCTCATAAAGTCCTTTATTTTACAATATTATCTGCATTGGGGGGGAGGGGATGTGGAAAAGGGGGTGGAAAAGGACTATCAAGGTACACAGCGAAATAGATAAATATGCCAAGCTTTTTTCTTATTTTTTTTTAAATCAGGCATTTATAAACAAGAAAGCATACATTACTTACATAAAAATAGTTCTAGAATAGTAGAGTAAGTCATAATATTGTCATTAGCAGCAGCATAGGAGAGACCAGGATAACAAAAATGTGCTGAAATGCTATTGGCTATTATAAATGTAAAGATTTATTTTTCTTCAATTGAAAAAATGTCATTTCTGTGAGTTCTTTTGATTTAAAAAAAAAAGAAAAAGAAAACCAAAAACAAAACAACAACCAAGCCAAAAAAAAAAAAAAACCAAACAAAAAAACCCTTCTCTCTAAAACACATGACTGCTGAGAGGGCAGAATGGAACAAAATCAACCTTTTGGTAATAAAATACTTTACAGTGAAAATAAGGACAAGTAAAATGCAAATGATGGAGAAAAGGTTGTAACCCACATTGAAAACTTGCAAAAAGATTTTGTTTTGTTTTTTTTTCCTAACAGACAGCAAAGGTTCTTCTCAGTTAAAAACACAACTCATAAAACAAGACAACTACCAGGTAAGAAAGAGTTTTGAAAAAGTAAACACCATATACACTTATAATACAACAGTGTAAAATGAAAAAAAGTATTTACATGTTGAATTTACTTTTAATGTTTTTTTTTTTTTACATTGGCTAGTTCTGTTTGAAAAGCAGAATATTATGTATAGAGTTAGCTGCTCCATAGATATGAATGTTATTGCTGTTGGTTTTTATTCCCTTCGTTAAGTCTTCGTTCAGTAATAGAAACAAGGAGTAATTAAACTGAATATACAAGTAGTAATATATTTGTAAGTACAGGGAGAGTCAACAGCCTGTATGAAACACCTCTTCTCCCTTTGAACTTCTTAAAGGAAACTAAAGCACAGATGAAGTGAGAGATGTGGCAGCTCCTGCACTCGGGGCTGGAGAGCCCTGGGAGTGCAGCAGGGAAAGAATTCCATGTGAGTGGGACTGACTGAGGTGCTGCAGCCTCAGAAATTACACAGAGAGCTCCCTCTCCTCCAGCACCTTCACACACGGGGCTGTCTCTGCAGAGCCCCCTCCCCACATCAGTGTCTCTGGGGCTGCCACAGGGACAGTTCTAATTATTCTGAATCAGAAACACGTTACACACTCTGCAGAAATAACAATTTAACTGTTAAATGTGTTCAGGAGATTCCCAACAGTTTAAGCCATTCCCTGTGAGCCCCTCCTGGGGTTTGGCTGCTGCTGGACAATGTTAGTCCCCACCTTTCTTGCACCTTTAATTATCTCACTGATTTCAAACCTTAACTTATGGAAATGGCTTTTCACTCCCAAGGACCAAATATTGTGGAGTCTTAACTTGGGCAGGGTGAGTCCCCTGTCAGGTACTGCCCTCCTGGAGTGACCAACCCGGGGCAGAACAGGAACCCCCCAGTTGGAATTTTGTTCTGGAGCCTTTTCCTGCCCCTCTGAGCCCAGGGGAGGCTGCCTGGGGTGACTGGCTGTTGGTGACACTGTTCTGGTTTCTCCTCTGAAAATCCTGCAGGTTCCCTTCCTTCAGGAGGGTGGGAGCCTCCAGCCCCGGGAGGCACCGAGCTCCCCTGGACACGGAAAGGAAACCACAGGTAAGAGAGTGGCTTTTCCTGGGGAAAAAACACCTGGAGATGGACAGGCTGCCCTTTTTTTCTTGAATTATAAGGGGAGAGACACTATCAGAGATCAGGGGAAACCCAAACAGACTGAATTTGCAAGGCCAGGGCTCAGTCCCAGGAGGGAGGCCAGGGCTGTTCTCTGTGTAATTCCCAGCAGGGCAGCAAAGCAGAGCAGGAGGACTCGAGATGCACAGAATGGTAACCACAGACACAACTGTTTAGTTTCCCTTGAAGAAATAAGTGGATAATACAGCTCTGGAAATCATAAGGCTGAGAACATTTTTCTGCATACTGCATAACAAAAGAACCCCTTTACATAAGACAGTAATAATGCCCATTAATGACTATATGGCAGAGTTTAATCCATGCATATGATTTAATAATCGCAGAAAAAAAAACATACAAAGAAAATAAAACCCCACATAAAAAAAAAACAAAAACAAACCTGCTCAAGCATAATCAAAATTCCTTTTGCATTGCACTTTAGAAGGAGATCTGCACCTAGAGCCAGTCTCCAGCCTCCCAAACACACAAGGGCCAACCCCTGTATCCACAGACAGGTTCAGGTCATGGACTTGGTGTGACTGTTTCTTGCCCCCAACAGTTTTACATTGTCTCAGTAATTCCACTCCTTTCGTATTTCTTCTTTTTTTTGTACCTAAAACATATATATGAACTTCTTTGTTAATGCTCACAGTTATTATAATGGTTATTATAATGGTTTCAAGCAAACAGCTCTTGTTTAAAAAAAAAAAAAAATCTCTCTAATGTACTGTAAGTAAATACCATAATTTTAGGATTGGAAGCCGCTTTCTGTCTACTGGGAAATAATTTTGAAGCTTACATAGTTTGCATTAATGTCCAAAAGCAAATAAAGATTACTGGAAATATGTTCCTTTGTTTAGAATAACTTCTGGGTATGATGATGCATAGGGGGGTTCTCTTTTTTTTCTTTTTTTTTTAATTTCTTTTCTTTTTATTCTTTTAAGGTAAAAAAGTGTCAGCATTGCCTAGAGAAGATGCTGAGAGGAAAAATGAGCTGGAAGGCACATCTGCAGCCCCAGATCACATTTTCATGTTTGAGTGTGACAGAGGTGAGTGTTTAGGGGTGAAAATAACTTTTCTCTTGATCAGTAAAGCACCAGCTTTATTTGTTAAGCACTTTTGGGAGCATCTCAGCTGCTCCTCAGCTTGGGTCAGATACACAGCCACAAAACCAGTTCCCTGGTCTGGTGAATTCCTGCTTGGGATGTTCTGGACCTGCTGGATCCTCCTCTGTGGAGATGCTGATGGGAGGTGGCAGTGCTGGTAGGTTGGGTTCATGGTTTGCACAGCTCTCAGGGCAGAATCTAGAATGCTTGGCTTCAGAAACAGGGAATAAAATGCAGAGTAAGATTCTGACAAAGTGCAGGTTTAAAAAAAAAATAAAAAATAAAAAAACCTCAGCACCACCCCCAGGGCAGTGATGGCTGCGTCGTGTCCCGGGGCTGCGGCTTGGACCCCAACATGAACGTGAGCTTCTTGTTAAAAACAAAAAGGTTTTTAAAAAAACCCATGTGGCTTATTCACAGCAGCAAAACCATTGGTGGTGTGGTCTGTGGTGTCCGAGGCTGCACCTCCCTGGGCACAGGAATCCTGCACCTCCCTGGGCATGGGATGGGAATCCCGACGGGCAGCTCGGGACGGGGCAGGGAAATACTGAACTCACGGCGAGATGGTGCAACGAGATGAGTTTTCCAGAAAACTGAAAGCTGAAGATTTCAGAATGACTTCAACACACAGATGTCTCTGCTTTGTTCCTCTACCAACTGATCATCCATTTCCTTCCTCCCTTTCTTTCTTCCCTTTCCCAAAGCTCAAGTGCTCCTGGATGAAGTCTCTGCACACACCAAGGGTGCTGGCGTGGGCTGCACACGTGGGGCCCGTGGGGCTCTCAGTCCAACACCACCTCCTTCCCCACTCCCTGCACGCTCCTGCATCTTCCCTTCTTCTTGTGTTTAGGGCAGGAAATTAAGATAATTCTTTCTAAGGAAAAAAAAAAAAAATCAACTTGGAAAAGCACTCTGAACTTCCCCCACCCCCACGTGACGGGATGGAACCGCGCTGGCTTCCGAGATGGCTGGAAAACTGCTCCTGACATGGCACCATCACCAGAGAGGGGCTTCTGCACAAAGAATCCCAAAGCCTATAAAGTCATTAAAAATTGTGCATCGAAGGTTTGTTGTTTTTTTTTTTGTTTGTTTTGTTTTGCTTTTAAACGTTCATTATAAAAAAATCGTGGTAATTTTTTTTTTTTTAATACCAAGTCTGTGTAATGAATTATTTTAAATAGCTTATAAGAAAAGTTGGTTTGCTTTGTCAATTCCAAAATGTTCCAACGGGCAGGAGAACACAACCCCCCTGCCCTGCTCGCCTTGGACTCTGGGTTCAGCTGGACGACGCCGCTTGCTCCGAGTTTGCCAGTAGAAAATTCTCGCTGTGGACTTAAAAGTATTTTGTTTTACAAACACTTTGTGTTTTCTAGGCACAGTAAGATGTTGTGCTATATGGATCGGGAAGGAGGAAAAAAAAAAACAAAAAAAAAAGAGGCAGAATTCAGTGCTTCTGTTCTAGAGGGTAACAACGTTTGCCTTCCAACTGCTGCGAGTCCGTGTTCCCGCCGGGTGCCAGGACACCTCACACATCACACCCCCCGCGCCCGCCCCGCCGGCGCCGCTCCCGCCCTGCCCTGCTCTGGGCTCAGTTCTCCATGGGGCTCGAGGTGCTCTCGCTGCTGGGCTGGCTGCTCGACTTAGGCCACAGTTGTTCCTGAAGTTCCTTGACCACCTTCTCCAAGTGTTCCCGGGCCTCCCGCTCGTGCAGGAGGTCGGCGCGGAGCTGCTCCCGGTCGGCCTCGGCGTGCTGCAGCTTCACCTGCAGGTCCTCGATCTGGGGGCAGAGCAGACAGGGGGATGCCTCAGGAGCCTGCACTGCACCACAGAGCTCTGCACAGGCTGAGAGGAGGGACAAAACCGTGCACTTCAGGGGTAAGACTATCAGGAGTGAGGCAAGGAAGGAATTCTCTTTTCTGTACTTTTTTCCCTGAAGGGGCTGCTGAGCTTTGAAACTTCCCAGTGACTCCAGCTCCAGCAAGGGAGGTGAAAGCCAGCAGAGTTAAGACACAGCCTAAGAATTCCTTAATGCAACAGAACTCTGGTCACTCCTTCACCATCACTGTCACTTCTTGAGGCAGAGACAGCTCTGGCACAGCTGGAGGGCCTGGGGGGCTCGGGGGGCTGTGACAGGGCTGGAATCAAACACCAGGGGATGCTGCCAACCTGCCAGTCCTGGTTTCAGAAAACATAAACCTGCAGAACATTCTGCCACTTGAGTTCTTTTTGAGGTGATTTTAGCCTTTTAGCTTGGGAAACCTCATTTATTCCTTCCCAAGGAGGGGATGTTTTAGGAGACTGAAATTCCCCATTGTCGCAGGCTCTGGAGCAGCCCCAGTGCCCGGCTGGACAGAGCTGGAGCACACCCAGCCCAGCCCAGGGGTTCACCTGCCCTGCTGGTGCCTGGCTTGTGTGCTCTGGGAACAGCCAGGCACACCCAGGGCAGCAGCTCCCGGCGTGGCTCTGTTTAGTCTGGACACCCCTTATCAGTGAGACATCCTGTGATGCTGGAGAGGAAGCCCCACATCATTTCCTGCTCCTGCTCAGACGTGTCTCAGCAGCACAGGGGCCACTCCCCTTCCCGTTATCAGAGAGCCTCTGATTGCCAGGGCTCTGCTTTTCCTCTTCCCCTCCTCCCTTAAAGCCACCACACCAAATACCTGCAGCTCCCACCTGAGGCCCAGCACCGGCTCCAAGGAGCTCCTGTGTCTGACAACACCCTGCCCAGCACCCCCCTGCTCCCAGAGCTCCTCTGGCAGCAGCTCAATGTCCCCTGGGAGCTCAATGTCCCCTGCCGAGGGTGACCCGTGTGTGGCAGGGCCGTGGGGGTCAGTTTGAACTTGAGGAGTTTAAGTTGGTCCCTGTGCCCCGTTTTTGGGAGTCCTGCCCTTTCCTGACGCGCTTTCCCCCAGGGACAGTTTCCCCTGGGCTGTCCCTGGGAGGGCGGTGGAGCCGTGCCCTGGCAGGGACAGGCACAGGCACAGGGCCAGGGGAGGGCTGTCCCAGCTCGGGGGGCCTCACCTGGGCCGAGTACTTTGCTCGGAGCCGCCCGGCCTCGCAGCCCTTGTCGCACACGCGGATCTGCCGCGCCTGCTCCAGCTCCCGCTTCAGCCGCACCCGCGACTCGTTTGCCTCCTTCATCTTCTTCTCGTTCTCCGCCCGCAGGCGCTCGATCTCCTTCCGCAGGTTGCGCTTGGCCTCGGTGGCTTCCCGCAGCTTCTCCTTCTTGGCCACCCTCAGGAACTCCAGCTCCTGGGCACAGAGGAGGGAGGTGTGAGCAGGGGGAGCAGAGCCCTGGGATCCAAACCCCATCCCCACCTCCCGCCGGCCGGGACCCCGCTCTGAGCCTCGTGCAAGCTCTTTTCTTTTAAATCCTCTGTGGTTCCTGCACTCCAGCCACCCTGAAGTCCTGGATAACAAAAAGCTCGAGAGTGCAGCCACATTTTGCTTTGTCAAGCAGAATGGCTGCGACCATCTGGGCCTGAATAAAGATGAAGTGCTGTTGGAGAGAGCTCCCAGCAACGTGCTCTGCTCCGGCTCCACGTTCCAAACCCCCCAACTGCAAAGCCCGGGCTGGAACTGGAGGCACTGGAGATGCACAACATGGTAAGTGCAGGTTGTGAGTGTCCTTTGTGTCCAGCAAAGCTCAAGAGGGAAGTTCACAACCAGCAGCAGCTCCATGGTACCAAACCCCCCAAAAATCTGCTTAAGGCAAGCTCAAAACACAAACTGTGTGTGTTCTAACCCTGGGTGCTGTGGGTGACTGGTGTGAGCCCCAAGTCTCCTGGCAACCAGCCCATGGACTGCCCTGTCACAACAGCTGGAGAACTCCAGGCTCCCTGGAACTGAACTGAACCCACACTCTGCCCTGGGCACTGCCCCTCCCACCATCCAGGATCTCAACAGGAGCTGCTGCCTTGGAATCTGAATCCATGGGAGAGGGAAAAGGAACCTCAAGGTACACAGGAAGCAACTCCTAAGCTGTTAAAGTCCACGTTCATCATGAGCACAGAGCTGTGGCTCACAGGTCTGTCTCCTAAATGGTTAAATTAGAAACTGAGGATCTATTTTCCCCCAGCAGCAGCATTTCCTCCCTGTCCAGCCCCGGTTTCTGTGCAGTAACAGTGCAGGCAGGGCATGGGAAATGCACTCTGACAATCTCACTTCCCAGCCAGGCCATTGTTAGCACGGCCCTGCCTCTGGAAGGGCACACAGAGCCCCTGGAAACACTCACACATGGACCTTCTGTGTGTGGGACTGGGAACCCACAGCTTCCCAAAGGGAAAACGGTGCCCAGACACCAGAGTCCCCCTCCCCCTGACATGGGGAGAGACACTTTAACACCTCACCACTCAATTCTGCTGCAGCAACTGCTTCCTCTAACTCCTGCTTTAAGTACCCACTATTTAGTTTAGATATTTTAAAATTATCTTTAAATATATATCACTCATAAAAGTTTACTTTTAAATACATAAAATAAAACACAGATTTACTGAAACACAAGGGAATGAAGTGATTTGCTCAGGGTAACTAAGAACAAGCCCAAGAGCCCCAGTGCTGGTTTTGTGTCTCCCATGCTCCATCTGCACCATCCCGGGGATTTGTCCCAGCTTGGGAACAGCTCCACAGAATACTCAGAGAGGACACACAAATCTCCTGCCTTGGCTGTATCTTCTATTTCTCTGCACTCCTTCTGTCCCAGCCCAAACAAAAACCAGTTCAGCCACCACTGGGCTCAGCTCATGGCCACACTGACCTGCAGCTCTGTCTGATCACTCTGATACAACCCCTGTGTCCAGGATTTCCAGAAATAAGGAGCTGCTTCCCTGACTGAAGCCAGTGGGATGCCTGACAAAGACCTCAGTTCAGCTGTGGCCAAGCCCCAGGAACACCCTCCCTCAGCTGGGACATGGCAGGGTTCTCACAAAGCTTTT